GCTTGAGCCCAGGAGTTGGAGGTTGCTGTGAGCGTGATGCCACAGCACTCTACCGAGGGGGGATAGCTTGAGGCTCTGTCTCAAAAAAACAAAAAACAAAAAACATCTGACTTGTGCTCATGTCAGCAAACACATTTAATATCAGGTTCCTCTAGTTACAGGACACGTCTGAGGTCATTTAACCATCTCACAGGACGCTGCCCACTCCCCCTGTTAATACACACACATTACCCATTGGCCCTTGGGATGTGGGGAGCCTAAGTTTGGCTGAGGGCTTTGTGAACATGGGCACTCAGCTGCCAGGAGCAGCCTGTCCCTCTGGGGGAGACAGGAAACAGGAATGTGATGAGAGCTGGGAGATGCCTATGGCTTGGGGTCCTACACCACCAGTCTCTCAGCTGTACATCGTGAGAGAGCATCCAGGCCTCGGTGCCATAGGCTCTAGCAGCCACAGGCCAGCCTCAGCTTGGCCAGGTGTTCCTGTAACATAGTGGAGACATCTCTGAGAGCAGAGCCAGGCCCTGGCATTGTCTCCAAGCCCTCTGTTCCAAGAATGTCCTTCAAAGCCTGTGAGGACATGGCTGCTGGGCTGCTTCAGTCAGGAGGGCTGAGTAGGGGTAGCATCCAGAATCTTCTGGGCTATGGAGGTGAGTACAGGAAATGCAGGGCTCTTGGGAAATTCCCGCATGAAGTCACGGCCTTCCTCAAGGCTCCTGGCCAGCTCAGGGTCCAGGGGCACAGAGCCTGTGGAGAGAGTAGAGGCTGAAGAAGAGGAAGTACCATGTGGCCCCAGGACAGGCTCAGTAACAAGCAGTGGACGCCCCTACCCCCAACCCCCCTGGCTGCTCTCACAGCTGAGCCCTGCTGCCTTCACAGTCATATCTAAGAGGAACACAGGCAGGCACTGGGACTGGGCACCGTAGATAGCAGGTTCCCAGCACCACAGGATAGAAGAGGGTTGGCCCCCTATCTTGTGTGTCCACTGTGTAGCCGCTGCTCAAAACCTGAGCTGCTTTGTTTGGTCTTAATTCCCAAAGACAGGCGACAGCTCATAGCCAGCACCTTCTACCATGTGAGAAAGACAAAAGAACAATGGCACTTGGTGGGCACAGGTGAGTTAGACCTGCCCAGAGCACAGGCCCCAGGAGGAAAAACCAGGACCCAAGTTACCCTGGCTCTGGTCACTCACCTAAGAAGGGGACTCCAGCATGCCTAGCCAGCTCCTCCCCGCCACCTCTGGAGAAGACACTGGTGCACTCCTAGGAGACAGGTTATTGAGGACCCAGGGAGCGGCTAGCTGGCGCCAGCATCCCTTCAGCCTTCACTGGTCACTAACTGCCCTGGAGTTGACACTGGTTTCCTTGAGGCCTATACCCCTGCCGGCCCACCCCACATCACCCCAATGAGTTCCCGTGACTCACTGCACAGTGTGGGCAGGTGAAGCCGCTCATATTCTCCACGACCCCCATCACCTGTAGGCCTGTCTTCCTGCAGAAGGTTAGCTCCCGCCTCACGTCCCCCACAGACACTGCCTGCAGAGTGAGACAAGACCTGGCCAATCAGCCACAACCTAGCTGGGACATCAGCAGGAGGATGGCCAGGCTGGGCCCAGTGGGGAGAGACCACACACAGGGGACAGGATGGTGCTGCCAACAGTACCTGAGGTGTGGTGACCACAAGGGCCCCGAGGGGCCTGTAGGGGCGCAGGGCTTCCACAGTGGCCATGTGTTCATCAGAGGTCCCCGGGGGCGTGTCCACGACCAGGTAGTCCAGCTGCCCCCAGGCCACATCAGACACAAACTGCTTTATCAGTGCTATAGGGAAGGGTGTCAGGATGGAGCCAGGCTTATGCCATGCTGACAAGTCAGGCAGGGGGGCCCTAACCCATCGAGCTGCCCCCACCCCCAAGATTCTCGGAAGGCCCTGGCCACCACCTGCAGCAGGACTAGGTGGGCTGCTGTGGCAGCCCTGGGCAGGGTGTAGGACACAGCGGAGAGGCAAAACTGCCCCACTTCACACACAGCTTCTCTCCAGCACTCACACTGGCTGCCATACCCCCCCTCTCAGGGCCAGCAACTAATCCTTCCAAGGTCTCAGCTCAAAACGTGGAGCCCAAACCTGTCAGGGTGTGTTTGTGCCCACACCCAGTACTCAAGCCCTGAGAGGAGGTGGTGGAACGCCTGGCTGGTGTGTCCCAGAAGCAGCCATCTTCCCTGAGCTTGTTTCTCATGCACAGCAGCCTCTCCCTGCAATTAGAGGGGGGTCTAATGCCACCTGTTCTTCCAGACCACAACCTCAGGACCACCATTACCATGATCCCCTCCAACACTGAGGGTCTTCAGATCTCTGCATGCCATAGATCCAGGTCTGAGCAGACCCTGACCCCCCCTGCCCAGGAGACAGGGCTGTTGCTGACAGTCTCTTAGTAATGCTGACTAGGTGAGAGCCACTTGCCATATCTCAGGCCCTACTCAGAGCCTGCCATTTGGGTGTCATGGACATAACTAAAAGGTCCTCAGACACAAGACTGACTGCTCAGCAGGGAGCAAGGGAACTGTTTCCACAGGGGAAGATGGAGAGGCCAGATGGACACTTTCTGACTTTACCAGGAAGTAGCAGCTGTGCAGGAGAGACAGTGTCTTGCTGTCACCCAGGCTAGAATGCCATGGTGCATCAAAGCTCAGCATAACCTGAACTCCTGGGTTCAAGGGATCCTCTCACCTCAGCTTCTTGAGTAGCTGGTTCTACTGGTGTGTGCTACCACCCCTGGCTTCTTCTGAGGACTCTACCTGAGCACTGAGGGGTCCAGCTGAGTGAGGCCAACAGCAACCGCCCCCACCTGATTGTTACCATTTTTCTTGGGGCCCCTCCACACCAACGCATCATCCGGCTTCTGTAGCAGGAACCCCACAGACATGAGGGAGATGCTCTGCTCCTGATCCACAAAGACAGGCACCCAGCCACTGTCGCACTGGTGCACAGCCTTGCCCTGCGCCCGGAGCATGCGGGGGATGCTAGGGCCACACAGGTCTACATCGAGGATTCCCACCTGTAAGGAGGAAGCAGTCCTGAGGGCAGAGGGCACGTGCCTAGTCTCTGTCCCCCCTCACCAGGCAAGGGCACTCACCTTCTTGCCTGTGTGGCGCAGAGCCAGGGCCAGCTCCGCGGAGATGGTGCTTTTCCCGACACCTCCCTTTCCTGAGAGCACGAGAATGATGTGCTGAACACCGGCCAGGTTACCAGGCTCTGTTATAAACATGGACAGGCCAGGTTCTCCTGAGTGCCTTGCCTCTCTGCCCACTCTGCTATGAGCCCAGGCTCAGGCTCGAGGCCAGACCCAAATGCAGCCCTGGTCCTGTCTTCCTGGCATAGCAAGTATCTCAGTGGAAGGTCTTCCAGCAGCCCAACCTGACGGGATCCTCTATCCCCCCTGTGCCCTGTACCAGTGAAGACGAGTGCCCCAGCTGGACCTACTCTTTACAGCAAGGTGTGCACAGGTTCTTGCACAAGCATGTGCACCAGCTTGCATACACAGGCAGTATAATCCTGCCAGCTCCCTGTCAACATTAATTTCACCTATTGGTGAAGTGAACAGGACCTGCAAGCAGGATGATGGTACCTCAGTGCCCTCTGCCAGCCCATTCTCCTGTGGTCAGAGGAGGCGTTGGCCCTAGGCTTCCAGTTCTCAGGAGTACGCAGACCTGTCATGATCCTCACTGGCTCATAGCCACATTCTTGGCCCCTGTAGGGGACCTTATGAAACCTGAGCTGATGAGAGCTGACACAAGATGCAACAGTGTCCTTGGCCGCTCCCCTCCCCCCACAGGTCCTGGTCCTCAGTCTTGGTCCCTCCCAACCATTCTGGCCCACCTCCTCTTCTTTCCAATAGTCTGCAATGCAGCCAAGTGCATTCATAGCCTTTCAGGTGCTGCTGCCTGCATGGAAACCACCCTCAGCCCTCTGTAAGTCCCCATCACCTCTGGAGGAGTCCTCAGAAGGGAAATTAGGAGTGATTCAATAAATGATGCATAAATACTGTCCCTGCTCCACCATTTTTTTTTTTTTTTTGAGACAGAGTCTCACTATGTCACCCTCGATAGAGTTCTGTGGTGTCATAGCTCACAGCAACTCAAACTCTTGGGCTTAAGCGATTCTCTTGCCTCAGCCTCCTTAGTAGCTGGGACTACAGGTGCCCGCCACAATGCCTAGCTGTTTTTTGGTTGCAGTTGTCATTGTTGTTTAGCAGGCCCAGGGTGGGCTCGAACCCGCCAACCTTGGTATATGTGGCTGGCACCCTACTCACTGAGCTATGGGTGCCGAGCCCTGATATACCTTCCAAGGACAGGTTCAAAGGCCTCCAAATCTGAAGCCTCCCACGAAGAACTCACAGGGAACCAGGCCCAGCTTTCAGGCAAGTCTTTGTCACAGGTGTGGTAAAGCACCTGCCCTAAGTCTTTGGGTGACACAGAAAGAGCACCCTTCCCACCAGCACTAACACAGAACGCAGAGATCATGGCCTCACAGTCACCTGTGGCAATCAACAGGTTGTTATTTAAAACACTTAAACAGGCTCGGCATCTGTGGCTCAAGCGGCTAGGGTACCAGCCACATACACCTGAGCTGGCGGGTTTGAATCCAGCCCGGGCCCACCAAACAATTATGGCTGCAACCAAAAAATAGCCAGGTGTTGTGGCGGGCACCTGTAGTTCCAGCTATGTGGGAGGCAGAGGCAGGAGAATCGCTTGAGCCCAGGAGTTGGCGGTTGCTGTGAGCTGTGATGCCACAGCATTCTACTCAGGGTGACAGCTTGAGACTTTGTCTCAAATAAAAAAAATAAATAAATAAAACACTTAAACAGCAACAGGTGTTGGAAGCACTATGTGCATACAGTAGTAGTTCATTTTTGTTGCTGTTGGGGAGCTCTACTGGAGCCACCAGAGACTGAGTGGGCTCTCAGACCTGACTCCACTCTGCCCTTGTGCTGATACCGTGTGACAAAAGTATCCTGAGGAGGACTAGGGAAAATCCTCTGTCCAGTAGGCTGGTGCCTATGCCAGGTAACTGGAGGATCAGGTTCTCCCCAGATGACTCCTGAGTGATCAACCTTAAAAACCTTTTACTCCTATGCTAACTGACAAAGTTTATAAGTGGATTATAAACAACGTACATTCACAAAGGGCCTACTAGTTGTGAGTGACTGTGCTGGAAGGAGCAAAGAAAGAATAGGAAGCAGGATCCCCATGCAGGGAATCGAGGATCCTCTTTATGGATAATGTGCTGGTCAGCCTTATGGCTAAGTCCAAATGAATCCAGATAGCTCAATATGCAGAACAAATACGTTTTTATATGAAAAGACTCTTTCTGGAAAGATACAAGAAATAGATGCCAGGGTATACCTATGGGCATAGAGCAGGATCTTTTACAATATACCCCTTCAGCCTTTTGAATTTTTATGTGTATTCTTTCCTGGTTAAAAAACAATCCATCAATGTCAATAATAATCTTCTTCCGGCTCGGCGCCTGTGGCTCAAGTGGCTAAGGCGCCAGCCAGATACACCTAAGGTGGCGGGTTCGAATCCCCAGCCCGGACCCGCCAAACAACAATGATGGCTG